CTGAGCAGACTGGGAGGGAATGAGGAATGACTGCTGATGGATATGGGTTTCTTTTTAGGGTGATGAAAATGTTCTAAAATTGATTGAGTTGATGACAGCATAACTGTGAATACTCGTATACTAAGAACCATTGATATATACACTTTAAAAGGGTAAACTTTATGGTATGTGAATCATGCTTCAGTAAAGCTTTTAAGATTTTTTTATGAAGTTTGTGATCTTAATATTTGGAACACTAAATTATTGTGTTAGATTGTGTTTGGGTTATCCACATTGATTTACAATGGTTGCCTTATGCTTATTCTCAGTTATTTGGAATGAGCTTCCAGCTTTCTGCAAACTGCCCTGATGCTCTTTCTGAAATAAAGTTAGCTGGTGGTCTGCACATCTTTTTGTTGTTGTTTTGTTTTGTTGTTTATTATTATTTTAATATAGTGATAAATTTTATATCCCTTTGGCTTGTATAAATATTTTAAAATTAAAAGTTATAGTTACACTATTTGTTAAAAATGAGTAGAACATATTTCTCTCCCATGTATTTTTTTTCTTTTTAGGCTTTTAAGATTTTTTGTTGTTGTTTTATTGAAACTTAATCAATTGTACATATCTTTGTGGTACAGAGTTGTATGTCAATACCAGTGATGGTCTACACATCTTTAAGAAAGATTTTTCCTGATGCTCTATTCTTGATAGTGGCAGTGCCAGGCACTTCCATGGCCTTTTCCAGCCTGCCCCCTACACTCTGTTTCCCACAGGAAGGACTTTATCATTTCTCCTCAGGGTCTTTACAGATCTGGAATTTTTCTGCCCCTCTGTCATGGCTTCCCTTTCTCAATAAACCACTGAACTGGCTGGACACTGCCTCTTGTCTTGACCTGCCAGCTCCGTATCCTGGGACTTGGGTCTGGTATCCTCACTTTCTGTCTCCTCTCAAATGGATTCCCAGCATACCAGGTGGGATTTCTCTATATTTCTAAAGTGAAGTCCTTGTCCCACTCCCTTGTCCCTGTCTCTATTTTCTATATCATCTACCTTGGGACCTTGATTCCCACTTGAACTCAACCAGATTTGCTACGCCCCCACTATTAGGATGCAGCCTCTGCCTTCCTCATTCTAATCCCAGTCACCAGAGCTGCCAATACACCATACTTTTACCATCCCTTCCCCTTTGCCTTACAATGTATCATTTCACATTTGCCTCACCTCTCCTTAGGTAAGGGGTCACAATGCCTTCGTAGATGAGTGGAGTTTACCAGGGGGGATTTGCAGCAAAATGACAAACTTAGCCTCCATCTAAGAGAACCTCTCCTCCCTTATAACCCTGGTGATTGTTGCTATGTAAAAATGTGGACTGATGTTGCAAGATCTGTCAGTTTGTCAAGAAAATGGAAATCTAGATTTTTAAGTAAAATGTCTTAATTTATAAGGCTTGGCTCAATTTTTAAAAATTAATTCAAAAAACACTTTGCAACTAAATAGAATTTATCTGTAGGCCAAATTTAACTCAAAGGCCACCACTGTGATGTAGCTGCTTAAGATCTTCCCAGCCAACCTCTCATTCTCCCAGCAGTCTGCATTCAGCCACCCTGGGCTGATACCCACAGTTCTGACACAGCAGTGTGTAAAGACTGAAAGAAAAATATGGTAAAAGTGGAATGAAATGCAGGTTTAGATGAAGAGATAGATATAGACCTCACTAACTTCATAAACACAGGAGAGATAGTGTTATTTGGGGGTCTCAGGTGGAATTCTGTAAAGTACACATGTGGACCAGTCGAGACACAATGTGGGCACTTCCCACAAAGGACATCCTCCAGTGATCAAATCCAGGCTCCAGTTTTTCTTGTTTGAAATGGTCTTTGATACTGGTAAGAACAACCACTGAAGTAGTTATCTAAAGAATACTTTTACCTAAAAGACCTAGTTTTCAGAGTAATGTTGTAGAGTTCACAGAGTCCCGTATTCACTCATTCACTCACTGAAGGCAACTGAATACTTGGCCTGAGCAAACTGTTGCTATAATCTTTATTTCAATGCATCATTTTACTTGAATAGTTTAAGTGCAATCTCTCTTATTTCATTCTCCTCCTAACCCAAACCAAAACTGATTTCTAAGTTGATGCTTCATGGCAGACCTAGGTCATTTATACAAAATGTGATATTAATCATCATGACAGTATGGAATTTCTACTAAAGCAGGTCAATTATATTTTATTTGTTAGGTACCAGGCAGTGTTCAAAGGTAATGTTTTAGCCATTAAAACATTTCCCCATAAAAAGAAATTATCAAACGATGAGTAGCTTGACATCCAGATTTGCATACTTCGAACAGCTTTGAACCACATATGCTAATGAGTGTTAGGAATGATTAAATGTGAATTTACAAATTCTGTGGAAGGAAAGGTAATCCTAGGTAGTTATACACTAGAATAGGCAAAATATAAAGAATTAACATTATGAAGATAATATATATTTTTATGTATATGTAATACACATATATATGCATAGATAATATATGTATTTGTGTGTATATACAGTCATACAATTTAAAGCAGCAAGAAGGTATGGAAAGAAAGAAATTACAGAAAGAAAAGAAAAAAAATTCTGCTGATGAATGCTTATCTGGCATATCATATTTTCTTTATTAATTATCATCTCTCCCCTCACAAAGCTTATAGACTTTTCCATATTTTGTCAATCAAGAATTGGAGTCAGTGCTCAATTAGCATATATCATGAAATGCTATTTTATAAATTAAAAAAATAATAATAATAATGACCATAAATAAAGTCTAGGTTGACAAAATAACTAAACATATCAGAAGACGAAAGGAAAGCTCAAATGCACCTCAAAGATCAATAAGAATATGCTATTTATATAACCATGGACAACCGCTATGGACTGAATTGTATCCTTCCCAAATTCATATGTTCAAGCCCTAACCCCCAATATGACCATCTGGAGATAGGGTCTTTAGGAGGTAATTAAGGTTAAATGAGATCATAAGGGTGGGGTTCTAATCCAATAGGACTGTAGCCTTATAAGAAAATAAAAGAAAAGAAAATCTTCCCACCCTATCCTTGCAAACCAAGAAGGGAACCCTCACCAGAAACCAAACCCTGCCAGAACCTTGATCTTGGACATTTCAGCCTCCAAAACAGTGAGAAAATAAATTTCTGGGCCGGCCCCATGGCGCACTGGAGAGTGTGCCGCTTGGGAGCGTGGCGGCACTCCCGCCAAGGGTTCGGATCCCATGTGGAGACC